CATAACCCTCGCAGAAATTCAACCCCTAGAACCTGAAAGTCATTTTACCAAAACTCTACTAATCAACAAGTCTAAGAAAAGGGGTGCAACCCCGAAAACTAAACCTAAACAAAATCTGAACATATAGTCTGAGTCCGAAAAGAATGGACTAAACTAATGATGGGTCAATGGCAGCCTGGAAGAATTGGCTCACCCTTGAATCCGGTCTCGGTCAATGATCTCCTAACTAAGGTCTGTCAGTAGTCTCCTGAAGATGCCCTGTACTCAACAAAGAAAGAGTAAGTGCAATATCAGTACATGAAACTACGGTGTACTGGTAGGATCATGCGACTACTCCAGTCAACGAAATATAAGCAAGTAATTACAACACAGTAGACACACATATACATAATGCATAATTCAATTATCATTTTAGGAGCAACATACAATTTCCCAATAATAATGACGGTAAATATAAATGTAATAATCACAAGTGGTTCTCTCGTGGAACCCACACCCAAACTGTTAGTGTGTCGGAACGTGATACCCGATTCAATATATATATATATATATATATATATATATATATATATATATGTGTGTGTGTGTGTGTGTGTGTGTGTGTCGGAACATGACATCCAATCCAATATATATGTTGGAATGTGACACCCGGTCCAATATATGTGTCAGAACATGACACCCGGTCCAGTCAGCACAACCACAGTCACAATCACACCCATAATGAACAGTGCACATAGTCACACAGTCAAGTAACAAGTTCAAGGCATGTAATTGTTCATACTTAATCATTTCCTTAAGTTTGATTCATGTTTCCATATTCACATGCATGCATACAATGGAGCAATTAACAAGCATATATAACACGGCAAGAAGTAGAACCATCACCTACCTCAAAACCAAGCCTGAATACTCCTAAGAAATTTAAGCCTTCCCTTTTCGGAGTCTTTCAGCTTGTTCTTGGTCTAAAATAAGTAATTAATGCAAGGATTAATAAACAAGGCCTAATTTACCCACATTATATCAAAATATCAACCCAAGGCAAAACCCACGATCCCAATGCTCAACTAGGGATTTTTCTATATTAACTTAGGCCAAAACCCTACCCCAATGATAATTAACAAGGATTCTAAGTTCTAAGAATCGAAATACGAATTAAGGGAGTAATTAACTTACCTTTAGCGCGAGAATTTGATAAGAAACTGCCCTGGGTCGTCCCTTAGCTCTTAAGAACGAAGTTTTACAGAAAATAATGTTTTTAGGGTTTTTCTCCGATTTAAATCGCGATTGGCCTGCCACAACGGGCCCCATCCTGCTACAGCGTCCCCTCCCTGGAGGAATTAACCCCACCCCGGCGGTTTGAAAGAAGACAGAAACTCGGAATTTGAGTTCCAAACTCTCATTTCGCAACACACTTTCAACCCTTGATGTTCTAAAACTACCCTTTCACGCCAAGATTAGTTTCGGGAGTTCTACTCGCTCGAATTCGATTCCGTAAAGCCGTACATGCTCCTTAACGTCTTGGCTATCCACTCACGTGATCAAACTCATTATTAAATCCCCCATCCATTATCGGATTTCCCTAGACCTCACCTGACTCAGATTTCGTCCGAGTCTCGCCTAGGCTAGAAATTTCCAAATTTCTACTCAAAAATTTTCCAGCCCAAATTCTTTCCCCATTGGCTTTTCCATAACGACGGCAACAGGTCGTTATAGGGATGTCCAACAATAATTAGTTACATAAAGTGAATTTAAGAGTTCAAATCTTAAAAGCAATATATACTTTCTACTATCATTTTATTTTCTAAGAATTATTTTGCTTGTCGTATTTTTATTATTTTTCATGATTTTCACAAAATATTATTCTTTTTATCTTAATTTATATGGCTTTTTTTATTTAACAAATATATTTTTTATTCATATTAAATTTCATTTATTTGACAAAATATCAATAAAAATATACTCTTTCTGTTTGAAGATTCATTTATTTGTTTTAAAAAAAAATAGCTTTAAGACGTTATAAAATCTTTTCATATTTCTTTTAACAATTTGACTATATTATCCTTATCACTCTTTGATATCAATTTCATGATCATGATACTCTAACAACATTAAACTCTGGCATTCATGGGTCCCAAAAGAAGCTAATTTGGACAAATTAGGAAGTGGCTGGAGTCTTCCCTCTCCTTTAATTTATTCCGTTTTCTCTAGGGGCATGAGGTGGTGGGGATGAGGTGGGGAGAAGATAGATAGGATATGATAAATGAAAAGTAATATTTATGGAATTTTTTTTAATTTTTTTTTATTAAATAAATAATTGTTTTTCTCCTTTTTAAGAAATTTGTTTCGTAAAAATATAATTTCTCTTAAGATTTGATTTTACAATTTGTTATATTTTAGTTTTATGACTTTTAAACATGAGATTAATAAAAAAAATAACACATGAAATTTGTAATAATAATACAAGAGATCTTTATTTCTTCTACGGAAAAGGGTCAAAATTGCCCCTGAACTATGCGAAATAGACCACTTATACCCTCCATTACATTTTGGGATAAAAAATACCCCCGCCGTTATCCCAGGAGACCACAAATACCCTCAAGAGTTAACACCCTAAATTTTTAGTGACATGGCAAGCCACATTGGACTAATCCCTCCACCTAAGCATTGCCAACTAAGATTCACTACAAAAGAACTTGACCTTGTCGCCACAAATTCTCAAAATATTGCCACTAAAGGTTATGAGTGATTTTTAGTGGCGACTAACGCTCCAACAACCATTCGCTAGTAAAACCTATTTTTTCAACAAAAAAATATGATAATTAATTTTCGATTGCAACCTAATTTTCTAAAATAAATAACTTGCAATATCAGTATTAAAAACATCCAATATTATTACGAAAAATCATCAAAATTACTTCTCGATTCAAATCTCCTACTATATAATGCATCATTGTACATTTTATAAATTTACATATGACATAAAAATAAAACATACAGTGTCTTCAAACTCCTACTTAATCGATATCATTTTTTGTTTTTTTAAAAACAATGAAGAAGAAAAACACAAAATTAAAATTTAAAGTTAAAAACTTTTAGTGACGATTTTCTTGGCTTTTGTGGCGATTGTTGTCGCCGCTATAGGTCTAGTTCCTTTGTAGTGAATCCTAATTGGCAACACTAGGTGGAAGGATTAGTCCCACATGGCTTGCCATGTCAATAAAAATTTGGGATGTTAACTCTTGAGGGTATTTGTGGTATCTTAGGATAACAGCAGGGGCATTTTTTATCCCAAAATGTAACGAAGGATATAAGTGGTCTCTTTCACATAGTTCAGGAGCAATTTTGACCCTTTTCCGTTTCTTCTATTCAAATGGTAAACTGACACAAAAGATATAACATTTATGTATAATAAATAATAAAAAAGGCAAGTTATTATTATTTTTTTAAAGAAGAAGAAGAAAAGACAGGTAAGGAGGGAGGGATGAGATGTTGCAATATGTTTTATTTTATGTGATACAATTCGAAATACAAGTGTTAAATTATTTAAATTTTTCAATTTAATTTTTTTTTTTTACATATTTAAATATACTATGAATTACGATACTTAAGTAGGTTGTCAAATATGAATTTGAAATGATTCAAAAATGACTTTTATTTGAAATCATGATTTATAATCATTGAATTGAGAAGAAGGTAACTTGTGATTGAAATTTCATTTGAACACGTAGTTTAAATTTTAAAAGGTGTAAGATCTTTTTTTCTTAAAAAATGAAAACCTCACAACTTGTAAGAATTATTAAAATTTCTCCAAATTCTTATATAGTTTTACCAAATAAGCAAATCACATTCATAATAAAATATTTGAATATTTTAAGATATTCTATTAATTAGCAGATTATATATCTCATATTCATTTTTAAATAAATATTTACAATTATATATTATTATACACTTTCAAATACACATAATCTATAACAATTAACTAATCAAATAAATCAAATAGCAGTAATTAGCTATTTTAAAAAAAAACATAATCCTATCCCATGTACGTACAGACAATTTCTTCACAACAAACATAAATTATTATTATTTTTTGGTTATAAAATTTCAAATTACGTGTTTTTTTTTTTTCTGCAAAAAAGAATATTATGATTTCAAATTTTATTTTTAAATTGAAATCACAAACTTGAAATTGAATTTCCACCTTTTATATGAATTTAAAATTTAAAATTAAAAAATTTCAAATTAAAGTTAAAGTTTGTTCAAATGTCATAAGCAAGCACAAATCTCAAATCAAAACTTCAAATTTGAAATCCAAATACATGACCAAACAAGCCTTTAATAATTCAAAATTATTTTTTCAAAAAAAAAAATATACTCCCTCCGTCCACTATTGTTTGTCAGGATAGAATCATGCACAACCCTAAAGAAAAAAAATAATATAAGGTGCAATTTGACTAATATAATCCTACTATCAATCATTATTAAAATGATTTGTACTTTTGAAAACTGTAAAAACAACTTTTTTCACATTAAAATAGTCTTGTAACTTCAAAATGACTATTTTTTGACATCAATAGTTATCTAATTATTAAGGGCAGAATTGAAAAAAAGTGACTAATTATTTCTTGATTGTTTAAATTGACAATTAATTTTGGACAACTAGTTTTAGCATACCTGACAAACAATAATGGACGGAGAGGAGTATATCTTTAAGGAACCATCTTTAATATTTTTTCTTTTTTCTTAACTCATTAAATATCGATAATATCTATGTAAAAAGTAGAACAGCCCAACTAAAGTATTAATTATCCATCCTTTCGTTTTCTTCAAATGTCTCCAAAACCTTAGACAAATAAATTTGCTGTCAATTTTATCATAATTGCTTGCTCTTTTTGGCTAATTTGATGAAAATCTTCAATGGGTTTCTTAGTTTTACATTTTTTTTAGTAGTTTTAAGTGTTGATTAAAGTTTTGTTGATTTTAGATCTAAAAACAAAATGACATATTTTGGTGGTTTAGGCATTGGTTTGAGTTTCCTTTTTGGTTGCATGGTGATGGTATTTGCTGCAGAATTGTACTACTTGTTATGGGTAAGAAAAAGATTTTCAAAAACTAATTGTTTAACCAAAATTGGCACTCAAGAAGTTACAAGAAATCAAGAAGATCAAGATTTGGAGTTAGGTGCATCATCATCATCGTCATTGATAAAATTGGAAGGATACAGAGAAGATAACGAAGAATCGGAACTTACGAGGCTATATAACCTTCGATTCCTCTCTACAATTAAAGAGGAAACGAAAGAGGATTTGGAATCTGATGATGGAAGTAGAAAATGTTCGAAAAGTAAAAGTTTTAGTGATATTGCACTAATTCTTACTCCTCTGTCTTCACCACCTATTAAATCTCAAGAATTCAGTTTCAATCCTTTATTTGAATCTGAAATTAAGAGTATGAAATCTTCACCTCCACCAAAGTTTAAGTTCTTGAGAGATGCTGAGGAGAAACTTATAAGGAGATTAATTGAAGAAGCTGAGAAAAGAAAAAAATCATCAAATTCAATAGTTGTCTCTGTGTGACAACCAGGTCATAGGTTCGAGTCATGAAAATAGTCACTTGTACTAAAATTCATCCTTCTTGCTCCTGCACCTAGTTCAGCTAAAGGTTTAGATTTCTGTCTTACATCTTTTATCTATAGCCAAGAGTTAGAAAAATCTACTTTTGTATTAACTTTAGTTGAGGTAGAAAATATAAACTTTGCTGGTGAACTTTCTGGGTTCTTTATTTCATTTTGTTTTATATGGTATTGTTCGACTACTCACAACATTTATTTTTTCAAAAAAAAAGAAGATATATTTTTGCTGAATGGTTGAAAAAATATATTTAAATTTAGATAGTATGACTTGTATAATTCTCGTAGAATAAATGAAGTAGTACATAATGAAGAACCTAAAACTTGTAGGTGTAAATATGATGAAGATAATATTAATGATATGCTAGAAAGTTATCTTGGTCTTGCTATTGATGAAAATAATGATTTTGATGCATATCTTATTCGGTGAACCGAAACTATTAAGGATCCACAAGGTAAACCTGACCTTTTAGATTGGTGGAATAACCATGGCAAGGGATTTCCAAAACTTCAATCGGTGGCTCGAGATGTACTAGCTATTCAAGCATCTTCAGTAGCTTCGGAGGACGCTTTTAGTCCAACAAGATTTTAAATTAGAGAGCATATGTATTCATTAGCATCAGACAACTTGGAGATATCAATATTATTTAGAGATTGAATTAATGCTGAGAGAAGGAATTATGAACGTCTAGCTTTACCTACCCAATTTCAAAGTGATATTGATGAAATGTTGCAAGATTTTAGTAACGACAATATTGATACATTGGAGGAACTAGCCGATCAACCAATTTCAGATCATGTTACTAGAGAAATGTTAAATGATCTAAGAGAAGACTTCCTTGGGAGCTTGAAATATTAGTATGATAATTCGAGGTATAATTCAAACAGAATCCTTTCTAGAAAGTGGCTGCGTAGATTAGGTCATCTATTAATATTTGTAACTCAAATTGTACTATTTAATTTTTATTAATAAAATTATAGGTTATTCGCCTTTTTAAAAAAAATTATTGTCTTCAATTTAACACGTCATTTTTTAAAATTATATTTCAATTTTCAAATGTTTCAAAGTTCTAACTTTAAGTTATAATTTGAAGGTAAAAAAATTGAAAATTTGATATAAAATTTAAACTTTTTAAGTTTGAAATTTAAACTTTTAAGCTTTTAAAGTTTAAAATTTAAATTTTTAAAGTTTGAAATTTAAACTTTAAGAGTTTAAATCTTTTTTTTTTTTTAAATAATAAGTTATATATTTTGAACCCTTTCTAGAAACGCTACTAAAAAAACAGAACCCTTTCTAGAAACGCTACTAAAAAAACAGAACCTTTCTAGAAACACTACTAACAAAACAGTGAATACCGACCTAAAAATTTCCGACCTCCGGAGGTCGGTATTTACAAGTAGTCGATTTTTATGCAAAATAAATCGGGAAAACCAAATTCCGACCTCTGGAGGTCGAAATTTTTTCCGGAAAAAATGAATTACAATAAAAACCGACCTCTTGATGTCGGTATTAAACAAATAAATCTCTATTAAATATAAAAAACAAATAATACCGACTTCCGTATGTCGGTAAAATTAAATAGTATGTAAAAATAAATTAATATACAATACCGACCTCATGAGGTCGGTATTTTTTATATTTAATTGAGAAAATAATACCGACATCAAGAGGTCGGTTTTTATTTCTGGGAAAAATTCCGACCTCCATAGGTCGGAATTTGGTTATTTTGCATAAAAATCGACTTCTTGATGTCGGTTATAATACCGACTTCCGAATGTCGGTAAAATTAAATAGTATGTAATTAAATTTCTAATTACTGTTAATTAAAGTGACATCCGGAAGTCGATATTTTTATTTCATCTATTACTTTTAAAAGCAACATCCGGAGGTTGGTATTTTTATTTCATCTATTACTTTTAAAAGCGACATTCGGAGGTCGGTATTTTTATTTCATCTATTACTTTTAAAAGCGACATCCGGAGGTCGGTTTGTTGTTCATTTTGTATACTATGAAATTATATTGATATGAAAACCAACAACAAGTAGTCGGTTTTTATGCAAAATAAAGCGGGAAAACCAAATTCCGCCTCAGGAGGTCGGAATTTTTCCCAAAAAATGACTTACAATAAAAACCGACCTCTTGATGTTGGTATTATTTTCTCAATTAAATATAAAAAATAAAATTGAGAAATATTTTGATTTAATTTTATTTAAATCGTCTTCCGGACGACGATTTTGTGTAACATAAAAAACAAAAAAATTATAATACCGACTTTCGGAAGTCGGTAAAATTAAATAGTATGTAATAATTTAATATTTTCAATTAACTTTAAATAAATCGTCTTCCGAATGACGGTTTTATACAAGTTAAAATATAATTTAATATAAAATACCGACCTTCTGATGTCAATATTATTGAATTAACATGATTACTTTTTAATGTGATACCGACCTCATGACGTCGGTATTTTTTATTAAATCTAATTACTTTTAATAAAAGCGACATCTGGAGGTCGGTTTGTTTAAAATATTCCTATTAATAATCATAATTTTGCTATTGTATATAATACTAAAATTTCATTTTACACCTACAATTAATTGTTCAAAAAGTGTAACAATTTTGTATACTTTTATAAATAAAAAGTTAGAATTCGTGGAATAAATAAAAAAATATCTATAATCCATATTTAGAGTATGAAACTACGTTGATATGAATTAGGAGATAATTATACTTATATTTCTAGAGTAATGTACAAATTATATTAGTCTGTCGTCTAATCATGAACTTAATATCTGATGTCATGATGTAGAGGTGAAGAGCTAACATATAATCCATTCGAGTATGAAATGCGTGCGAGATAATATTATTATATACGTTCGATCTAATTGAATGGATGTTAAGTGTAGTGATCACCTTCTAATTATGATGACATGTAAACGATACTTTATCGGAGTATGAAATACGGTGATTAATTATATACTCCTCGAGTAGTTTAACAATTCAAGTCTTATATACTAGTGGTTTAGATATGAAATACATTATCAATTAAAGAAATACCGATGATCAATTCAAGGAGATTTATATATTAAATTTGATATTGATAAACTTTTGTTGATCAATAAAATTAAATTTATATAATTAGGAGTTATATAATTTAAATTTATAAAATTAACTTGATCGATAAATTAAATTTATTAAATTAAACTTCTGTTGATGTGTAGTTAAATTATATATATATATATTGATAAACTTTTGTTGATCAATAAAATTAAATTTATAAAATTAACTTGATCGTTAAATTAAATTTATTAAATTAAACTTCTGTTGATGTGTAGTTAAATTTTATATATATATATTTGATATTGATAAACTTTTGTTGATCAATAAAATTAAATTTATAAAATTAACTTGATCAATAAATTAAATTTATTAAATTAAACTTCTGTTGATGTGTAGTTTAATTTTATATATATATATATATATATATACTCCTCGAGTAGTTCAACAAATCAAGTCTTATATACTAGTGGTTTAGATATGAAATACATTATCAATTAAAGAAATACCGATAATCAATTCAAGGAGATTTATATATTAAATTTGATATTGATAAACTTTTGTTGATCAATAAAATTAAATTTATATAATTAGGAGTTATATAATTTAAATTTATAAAATTAACTTGATCGATAAATTAAATTTATTAAATTAAACTTCTGTTGATGTGTAGTTAAATTATATATATATATATATATATTGATAAACTTTTGTTGATCAATAAAATTAAATTTATAAAATTAACTTGATCGTTAAATTAAATTTATTAAATTAAACTTCTGTTGATGTGTAGTTAAATTTTATATATATATATATATATTTGATATTGATAAACTTTTGTTGATCAATAAAATTAAATTTATAAAATTAACTTGATCGATAAATTAAATTTATTAAATTAAACTTCTGTTGATGTGTAGTTTAATTATATATATATATATATATACTCCTCGAGTAGTTCAACAAATCAAGTCTTATATACTAGTGGTTTAGATATGAAATACATTATCAATTAAAGAAATACCGATGATCAATTCAAGGAGATTTATATATTAAATTTGATATTGATAAACTTTTGTTGATCAATAAAATTAAATTTAATGTATTTCATATATATATATATGTATGTATGTATGTTTAATTAATAAATCAACCACAAGAGCTGAGTTTGTATTAAAATAAATTAATAAATACAGACCTAAAGAGGTCGGTATATTTAAATTATTATTTTATTTAAATAATATCGACTTCACGATGTCAGTATTTATTCAATATTTTTAAATATAGATAATTATTTTAAAAAATACCGACATCCCGTGGTCGGTAAATTAAACAATTCTCTTAAGAAAAGAATGATAATATCAAGTCTCACTCCTAAGTGAAGTCTCAAAACCTAAGTGAAGTCTCACTCCCCACCCCCGACCCACCCCCATTGGCGCCCATCCCCGACCGGCGCCACACCACCATCCCCGACCGGCGCCACCACCGCAGCAACAGAGGAAGGTCGCGCGCAGCTGCTGGTCGCACCCAACTGCAGAGGAAGGTCACGCTGCCTCCATCCCGACCGGCGCCGCCTCCATCCCGACCGGTGCCGCCTCCATATCAGTTTTCTCAGTTCGCGCCACAATCCCCGACCTTCTTACTCAAGGTGAATTTTTAGAACCTCCATAAAATATTACTTTTGTTTCTATTTAGTTGAAGTATCTCAAAATTACAGTACTAGTATACTTAGTTTTATTGATTGTTAGTTAGTAAGTGAATGGTTTAGGGTTTTTGATTGTTAGTTTGAATTAGGGATTATTTGATTGTTAGTTTGTGTTTGTTGATTGTGAATTGAAAATTTTAATGTTAGGGTTAGTTTGAATTAGGGTATCTTAGGATTTGTTTG